TATATATATATATATATTAAAATTTTAAAATTATTAAATTTTTAATGAGAAAGACTAAAATTGCACAATTATGATATTTGAGAGATTAAAATTGTTCAATTAAAAATTGTGAGACTAAAATTACACAACTGTAATCTTTTAAGGACTGAAATTACTCAATTAAAACCTTAGGGATCAAAATTGCATAATTATAATACTTGAGCGATCAAAAACACAATTAAGTCAAGAATATTATATTCTCAGTTTTGGAACGGGCCGTTCTGACGTTCTGCTGCACTGGTGGTGTGTTAATTTTTGCATCTGGAACGGCCCGTTTCAGTTGCACAATTAACACACCAAAAGTGAAACCAGAACGGTCCGTTCTGGGTCGAGGTGTTTTCAAAAAAATTGTCATCCACGTATGCATCTACGTGGTATTCACGTGGCCAAAAGTTAACTCCGTTTAAATAATTTGGACGGAAGTCCCGCATTGAAACTAATTAATTAATTTGGGACTAAATTGAAACCAATGAATTAATTTGGGGCCAAATTGAGACAAAAAATAAAAGTGAGACTAAATTGAAACTAACAATTAATATAAGGGACAAAAATAAGGTTTTTGCCTATAAAATATATACATCTAATTTTAGCATGCAGTAGCTTTTGCTTAAATGTTAAAAAATAGTAAAATTTTCTTTGTTGTTGAATGATGTGGTCCAACCATATTAAAGCAGCTTTCAATTGGGATTCAATTTCCTGAGCTTAGTACACGAGTTTTGTTCTTCAATTTTCATCGCAACACTTGTGTGATCAAAATATCAACATTTTCTTATATTTGTTGTTCGAGTGCTCCAACCACACTCACAACTAGAAAAATATCATTTTTCTATAATTTTTTTAAAAAAAAAATTTATAAATTTTTTACAATAATAATTTCACATTTTTTTTAAAATTCTACTACTAGTGACTATAACAGATTTTAGAAATAATATTTCAAGAACATAATGATTCCCGGCCCTACCATATATAATACAATAAATCTATACATAAGTAGTCATCATGGCCATCATATCATAAACCATACGTACGTACGTGATATTAATCTGTGTCAGTTTATTTTACTTTCTGAGAAATTATTTTTTTAAAAGTTAATTCAAAGATGTGCGAAATTGTGATTACAAGAAATCCACCCATTTCATCTCTATAAATAAAGGATCAAAATGAGATCTGAGAACAAGTTAAGTGAGGATTCAAGAACAACAAAAATGGGTTTGATGCGTGTAGTAGTAGTGGCAGTGTGGTGTGCAGTATTTGTGATGCATGCAGAGTTTCCAGTCTCTAATGGTGAGCTGAGTTCTACGTTCTACAATGAAACATGTCCACTGCTATACGACACTGTGTATGGAGTCATCTACGATGCTTCCCTCACTGATACCCGCATCGGTGCCAGCCTCATCAGGCTTCATTTTCATGATTGCTTTGTTCAAGTAGGTACTTCTTCTTCCATAATACTCATGTTTAACTTCTGACTTTTTTTATACCACACCATGTGCATGTTAATTACTAGAAAAATGATTTTGCCCCCACAAGATTACGTTTAATTGGGTTTCGAAAAGAAAATAGAAAGACATCAAGTAGAAGAAAGTGATGAATTTTTTTTTAGGAATGATAAAAATATGAAAAAAAGAGTGAAGAGAAAGAGTTGAATCGATAATTAGTTACCAGTATAATTTGATATAAATGGATGCAAGAGTTTTCGGGAAAGATACCAAAAAACATGTCTCTCACCTATTCTCCCGAAGAGAAAGCAAAATTAAAGTAGTTGATCTAATCATTTTTTTAATCTTTTTCTTTTGCTTATTTTTCTCCTATTTTAAAGAAGAGGGATTTATTTATTTATTTTTATTATCCGTCTTAGAATTTGAGTTTAAAATTAATTAAAAAAAAACTAACTCATATATTAAGGACTATATATGTTATCCTTATATATATTATTTTGATTATATCAATTAATGTAAGATTTCTAACACTTTTTTAACATTTTATATATGAAATTTGAAATATTAGATATATATCTATATATATTTACATGTAGTTAAATTATAGTCTAATAATGGTAACTTGGTAAACCTAGCTAACAATAATCACATAAGAAAGACTCAAATATTCCAGTCATTTCTGATATTTTCTTACCCACGTCATTATTAGAGAAGTAAACATTAATCAATTAAAATGAACATTTTACATTAGTTATAGAATTGATCAAATTAAGTATGTTATAATTTAATATTTATTTTATTATTTTGGTTTAATCTTTTAGATATTAAAAAAAATATGTTAAAAAAATTTAAAATAAATATATAAACTTTTTTTCCTATTTTTTTTTTACAAACCGATCCATTAACCCACCTCTTAGGTGGGACGGACTAGAACGCTCAACTTGTTTTTTTTTCTAAGAAAGTGAATCCAATCCGATACAATTTATTTTTATTGGAGCAACGGTGAGGAAGAATTGACTTGTTTTGCTACCATAAGTAGAAAGGTAAAATTTCTTTTACATTCTAGTCATTATACTACAAGGTGTCATTCTTTCACTACAGTGTTCCTCATTTCTCCTCCCCTCCTTATCGTGTGAGGCTTTGGGACCACGAGTACGTCCAACCGGATCTACTATGTCGTCGTCTCTGTCCTCGAAGCCTTCTTCCTCCACTCTCTCAAGTGAAGGGAAATTAATTTATGTGGATCCAAGTCAAAGTTGCTCCCAAGTTCATTACCAAGTTGCTCAATATGAAAAACCTCAAAAAGTTATGAAGTGAAAATGATGGTAAGGATTAAAGCATGCAACGATGGAGTCTCATCAGCATTAGACTCGCGACAAAGGGACATCAATGTTGAAGTCGATCACGGTAGAGTGTCGTTGGTGTCAAAATCATGATAGCAATGGTTAATTGGAGTGAGTTTTCCTAAGATTGGAAAGTCGACAAAGGTTTATCACAAATGGAAAAATAAAGTATAGAAAGATTTTAAAAGACATATTAAATCAATATAAATTAGAACAAATGTAAAAACAAACTTTGTTTTTTATATCAGTTATTTTGAAATTGATATAATTAATGAAGTTTTTTTTTTAATTTTTTTTAACTTTTGTTATTTTATAATCGATGTAAAACAATTATTACTTTAAATTTTAAAAAAATATCATCGTTTTAACCATGTAACAAATCGACATAGAACGACATTGCAAAATATCATTTTTGCACTCTCAGTCGTTAGTACATATTTTACTTTATAAACAATCAAAGAGAGAAATCAAAGATACATATAAAACTTGACTGACAGAAAAATCATGCCACACAATTGCACTCATTATCCAATATTGCATTTAAATTGTGCTTAATAAAAAATTATAATTAACATTAATTAGGACTAAACCAAAGTATTTTAGAAAAATGGATTTACTAATGAATACGTGTGTTTTTTTTTTTTTTGAAAAAATAATTTTAGAAAATTGCTAAAAATATATAATGTAGTTAATATGCTAACAATAATCCTTATAAAAAAGTGAATGTATATTAACAAGTCCCCATAATTAATACTATACGTGTATTTTTCATAATATTGCTAAACTTTATGAAAACGAGTATATAAGAGATCAAACTTGTTTTCTAATGAGAAATTGACACAAATATTTTTTTTTATAATTTTAATATATTAATAAAATCATTTTCATTATATTAATAAAAATGAAACCAACTTAATTAATACATGATATGTTAAAGAGTTGCCAACAAAAATAAAAAAACCATAGTTATTTAGATTTGATAGAGCCGTTAGGTAATTCCAAAAAACACCCTCGCATGCAAGAGACTAAAAAACTAGGCCTGGGCAAAAACTTCCGGCCGATCCGAAACCGGCCAAATCGACGAACAGATTGGGTGAAGCGGATTAATTCTCAGGTATTTCGGATTTTTTCTGAAGCAAATTTCGGGTTCAAACGGGTTTTAACGGTCGGATTCGGTGTTAGAATTTTCTCATCCGATGCACCCGAATCCGACCGTTCGTCTTCACCGTTTATTTTCTCCGTCTCTTTTACTTCGTCTTCTTTCTTCTTCTTCTTCACTCCGTCTTCTTTCCTCTTCTTCTTCACTCCGTCTTCTTTCTTCTGCTTCTTTCTTCTTCTTTACAGTGTCTTCTTTCTTCTTCTTCTTCACTCCGTAAACATCATCTTTTCTTCAACTTATTCCTGCCATGGCTACCCCCACTGAGAAGCTCCCTGTTCTGGTTGATGAAGGTGGTGATGTGGAGATCTGAAACTCCGTGATTTCCCCCAAATGAAGCAGTAACAGAGACCGGCAAAGAGTGACGAAGGATGGCGGCACGAGACGCTAGAGGAAGCTTCTCAAACCGATGAATCCATCCGATGAATCCGTAACCCGCACGGATTGAACCCGCTAAAACCCGAGTTCTTCGTCGGTCGGAAATGGCTCCTGATTTTTGTTAATCGGTTTCGGATGATTTTAAGAATTTTGGTCCGAAACCGACCGTGGCCGACCGATGCTCAGGCCTATAAAAAACAACGTCATTTTCAACAGTCATTAAAGCCGCTGATAGTGATCGGTGTTACTCCTTGCACTTGCATGGACCCTGAGTTGAGCCAAGACCGTGTCAGTCATCAAACTCCGTATACTATAGCAGTGCATTATTAATACAACTGATCGAGCAGTATCATAAACTCTTAAAAAAAGTGCCCACAAGACATCCAATCCATCAATAACACGTGAACACAAGTTGCATGTGGTTTAGACACACTTCAATCCTCCGATTGAATTGCAACCCAATATATTGATGAGGACTACGAATTCTTCGAAAATTTAGTAAACATGTGACACTTTTTAGTTCAAAATTTTTTAAAGTAAAAGAGAAATCATCTATAATTTTTTTTTTCTTTATTGTTATCGTATAATAACCTAGAAAACAAACAAACATTTACATCTATCATTGTCTAATTAATGGACGGTGCTTCGGCAGCGTATAGATATGTTTGTATATATATGGTGGAGAAACTTGTAATGTTAATTACAATTAAAAGCCATACATAGTCGATATTTAAGGTTATGATATAACTATATAAATGATACAAATAAAGTCTTAACGAAGTTGTTATATTTGTGACACATATATATACAGGGTTGTGATGCATCAGTTTTACTGAACAACACTGCTACAATAGAAAGCGAGCAAGATGCAACTCCAAATAACAACTCACTAAGGGGCTTGGACGTTGTCAATAACATCAAGACAGCACTGGAAAATATTTGTCCAGCCACTGTTTCATGTGCTGATATTCTTGCTATTGCTGCTGAAGTAGGTTCTGCTCTGGTAAGTTCTACCCCCAACCAATTTTCACTCTCCTCATACTGTCATTAGTAATACTAATTAGATCGACCAAAAAGAAAAACCGCAGTTTATTTTAGATTTTGGATCATGCAGGTGGTAAAAAATAAAATTCAAATTCAAATGTCTATGGAATCAGGATTCAAAAGAGAAAAAAATAGAATCATGGATAAAAAAATTCTTAGCCACGAAGTTTTTCTCTTACTGTGATTAGTAATCATGTGTTCGCGCAAGTTGTGTATAATTTGACTAACTTACTTCTCCAATTTCAAAAGAAAAAACCAAGACACCGAAATTGTAAGAATATGTTATTCTTTATATTTGGACCCTAATAATAAGTAATTGACGTAATTCAGATTTGATCTAATTAGTGTGCAGGGTTACAAAGGACTTAATTTTTAATAAGTACCCTGATGATCTCAGTGTAAATGACTCACCATTAATCAGATCATAAAGAAACGCAAACCGGTGTGGAAATCTGCCGACTATATAAAACGAAAAAGATTAAAAATAAAAAAAAACCTTAAGTAATGTTCTTTTTTTCTTAAATGCAATTTACCACTTTTGAATAAAAATTACTAGTTTTAACTTTTACGTTTTTAACTCATTTGACTGATTTGTTGGCTGCGAGTATCTCCAACATTTGAGTATTTACACAAGCTTTCCTCCCAACTATCTCAATATTTGAGTATTGTTTCATTTATAAACAAACTAATCTATTGCTTATAAAAAGAAGACAATTCATCTATCTCATGTTCAACTCCGGTATGTCGGCAAAAATGACTCATTTATCGCAGCATTAAGATTTAAAATGTTCAATTATTGAAGTATATATATTGGGTAAATGTAGTTGCATGTGCAACCTGTTTCGTGTAAAATGCTTATTCCATAGCTTGTATTCTTTGAAAATGATAATAAACCCAAAATGAAAAGTTCCACAATTTGACTTTTATGTTAGAGACATATCTTTGGTGACATGCTAAATAATTAATTACGGCGCCCATACGCCAAATATTTGTGCAATGTTGAAGAAAACGATAAACCACAGGTACACTCAACAATATGGTATCCCCAAAACAACAATTGTAGTTTTTATCCAGGAAAATAACTTAAAAATTCTGTTAGCTATAATAACCACCATTTTTTGTGCGTTTTATAAGCTATCCTTTTGAAGTGGTTTAATTTATCTATTTACAGGGTGGAGGTCCATCATGGTCAGTTCTATTAGGAAGAAGAGATAGCTTAACAGCAAACAGAACCCTTGCAAATTTAAACCTTCCAGCACCCTCTTCCACAGTGGATGAACTTATAGAAAACTTTGCTAATCAAGGTCTCAACACCACAGATTTAGTTGCACTCTCAGGTATACATAATCAAATCATATTTCCTATTAGCATTTGGATTTGAGAATAATTTAATAATCTCTAAAGTTATTTTTTTTAATAGTATGTGATACAAAATGTTCATCATTTTGATAATGATTAATTTATGTTAAAAAATAATCTTACTATATTTAGTAATGTATTTTTTTCTAACCCAAAATCTTGAAGAATCTAAACCCAATTTTATTCTAACTATTGACTCATCACTTATATATAATATTTTGGTTGTATTATATCATTAGTTAATATAATTTTTTTTAATATATCTTATTACTACAAGAAAAAAATATAAAATTGGTGACAAGACAATTTATATATAATTTAAAAAATTTTCCTTAGTAAAATTGTTGAAAAAACAGCTTTTTTGTCAAATTTAGTCACTAATGCTTCAATTTTTTTTATTTATAGTAAATTAGGTATAATTTGAAAGCATTAATATATATACAGGTGCTCATACGTTTGGAAGAGCTACGTGCAGTACATTCGATGATCGATTATACGATTTCAATGGCACTGGAAGTCCTGATCCAACTCTGGATACAACTTACTTAGAATTATTGAGTGAGATATGCCCCCAGGATGCAACTGTGGATAACCTCACCAATTTGGACCTTACCACACCTAATGAATTTGATAACAAATACTACTCCAATCTTCAGAATCTCAATGGCTTACTTCAGAGCGACCAAGAACTGTTCTCCACTTCTGATGCTGATACCATTGCCCTTGTCAATAGCTTCAGCAGTGACCAAAGTGTTTTCTTTGCCAACTTTATAGTGTCAATGATAAAAATGGGTGATATTGGAGTGCTGGAGGGTGATGAAGGACAAATTCGCTTGCAATGTAATTTTGTGAATGGGGATTCGTCTGGATTAGTTGGCGGTGTTACAGCCAAAGATCCTAAATACAAGATAGTAGCTCAATCTAAATAAGTTAATGGAAATGTGATGTAAAGGAAAAATGTTGTAAACATCTTTGCTTTATTTAAATAAGCCAAAGAGTGTGCATGCCAATGCGATTTATGCTATGTACCCTCTTGGCATATATATTATGTATTTACTTTGCTTCTCTTTCCATTTCTCTGTATCCTCTCTCTCTCTTGTCCAAGAAATATAATTTCTATACATTGTTTTCTTCTTCTCAAATGTTACGTACAAAAGTAAAACTGTACCATTTATAAATTTATCTGTTTACAACATTTCATACATTTTTACATACTTTGATATTTTTAATGCCTTAATTAGAAAGGCTTCATGATATATTTCTGTAAGCATATAATAATCAAATGGTTTTTTTAATTTAGTTTAATGCTACGCATCCGTATTAGTTAAAATTATAATTTGAAAGAAATTGCCTACACTTAGTCATGATTTAACAGTGATATGTACAGGATAATGGATTGATCACATATAATATTAATAATTTTTATTCTTGAGATGAAATTAATAACCTCTTTAATTGTGACCTTAAGATTGGAAATCTTGTGAATATGCACAAGACATCTCTCAATATGGCAATATGGAAAAATTATTAGGTAATTCAATATCACCAAATGTTAACCAATTACTACATGATATGAATTGAAATTTTTTAATTTACGAGAAAACAGTAATTACATGTCATGTAGAAATTAGTTAGAGACTAGGATTATCTATTAATTTCTCTCCAACATCCATCCCTCAAGTTTGTCACTTGCTAGTTTTCCCACTAAAATGTTCATTATGTGGAGATATGCAATATTGCTAGTTAATTTCCGGCTGAAGGAGGTTGAAAATCTGTACGAGCTAGGCAAATCAAAAAGTATAAATATCTTTATTTAAGAAATTGCCGAAATCACTTTTATGATGACAATGAACTAGATATATACGCGTTCTTTTTTACTGAATGATTCTTGAATCCATGCAGATTGTTAAGGAGGTAAATATGATATTGAGTCCAAGGCTTCTATTGTGTATATTGTTCAATATCAAAGAGAGGTGTTTTAGAGCTTGATACAAAGAGTTCTATGTTGCCACAAAATAAGTTCATCCTAATCAAATGGAGGCTATCATCACGCACTTGAAAGCCATGTAGATGGGGAAGGGGCAACCACAATTTGCCCTAGTTCAAGTAATATGAAGGATTTGAGATGGGAGCTTTGTGAAGGACCTCATACCAATGGTGGGTGAGAAACTGAGCAAAATAATTAGGAGAGTTTGAATTATAATTATTAGATATTCCAAATTAAACTATTAAAGTAGGCCTAATAGTGAAGGGTTGGAATAGTTTATACAAAGTCTTAAATTCAAATTCTTATACTATCATTGTAATTTTATTATATAAATAAATATTTCAAATTATTCTCGCCTCCCAATTTGGTACTATCACTATATTTTAAGAAATTGATTAGAATATCACCATGTAATTTTCTTTTCATGGTCATCCAAATATTAGTCATCATATATGGTATTTTTTTAATAATAATAATTTTAAAAAATTGTACTTGAGATAATTTTTGATTAATTAACATCATAAAACTTTTTATATTAGCGATACATGAAAATTAAACTTATTTTTTTTAAACTTATTATAAGTCAACATTTAAATTGCAAAACAATAATTATCCAGAGCTAGAAAATATATACATTTTGGTGTAAAAAAGGAAGAAAGAAAGTATATGCATCCAATTTTAAACATTAAATTTTGTTTTTCTGTTAAAAAACAGTAACAATTTTTTCTTTTGTTGAATGACGATCTCAAGCTACATAATTAAAGCAGAAAAATTTAAATCCGGATTCAAGTTCCGGAACTTAGTAACAGGTTCGAGTTTTGGTCTACAGTACGTTTTCATCATAACATCAGTGTGAAATTTGAACGTTTTCCTAAATTAGTTACTTGTGTGCTCCAACCACGTTGAGCAGATTTTAGAACTTACTTTTCAATAAGATAATGCCGGCCCTACCATATACAATAAGTCCATTCATAAACCAAGAGAAGTAGTCGTCAAGGCATCATTTGATATAAAATACGTAAATGATTACTTTGTGTTAGATTACTTTCTGGGAAATTATTTTTTAAATTAATACAAACAATAACAAAATCATGTTTTACAAGAAATCCACCCACTCCATCGATCTCTATAAATAAAGGGTCAAAATGAGATCTGAGAACATATTAAGTGAGGTTTAAAGAACAGGAAAAATGGGTTCGATGCGTGTAGTAGTGTGGTGTGCATTATTTGTGATGCATGCAGGGTTTTCAGTCTCTAATGCTGAACTGAGTCCTACTTTCTACAGCCAAACATGTCCACTGCTACAAACTACTGTTTTTGGAGTCATCTTCCGTGCTTACCTTACTGATCCTCGCATCGGTGCCAGCCTCGTTAGGCTTCATTTTCATGATTGCTTTGTCCAAGTAAATACTTGTTTTTCCAAACTGCTTTGCATATTTATCATGATTCTCACTTTTTTTTAATACCAGATCTCAAACACCATTCAGTTGTGATAGTTTAAGTGTGTCTGAATTTGGTCTCTTAAACAAGGTTTTTGATTGAATCTCGTGAACGAAATTTATGTTGTTGGAAAGAGATTTTTGCAGAACTCAATAAATATTTCACACAAATACATGATTAAAAAAATGCATATATTAATAACTAGATAAAAAAACAGAAAAAAAAAACTTCACACCTGACGTTTGTTGTGGTTTTAAAAAGAAATGAGAGATCAAGAAAATAGCTAGAAAAAAAGTAATGAATTATTTTTTTAAGTTATTTAGTGAGAAAAATATGGGGGAAAAAAAGAGAAAAAACATAAGCTTTTCTTGAATGGGTAATTACATGGCTTATTAACAATAATTTTTTTTAGTAAGGAGATATAATTTATTTTCATGAGTCAACTCTTATAAAAATAAAATGGTTTTTTTAGTCGTCATTTCATGTTAAGAGTATATGTCACAAATTACTTAAACTAACTATATACATTTTTCTTTATTTTTATCCTATAACCTAACAAACAAACGTTGACGTGCATTTAACTTTATCTAATTAATGGATATGTTGGACGGTGGCTGCAGGTAGGATATAGATATGCTTATTGTATATGAGAAACTTGTAATGTTAATTATATTTTAATCTTTAGTTTAAGAGTTAATCACCTATATACGGTTAGTGTAAAAAAAATTTACACTAGCAACCAATCATATATTTTAATAGTGTCATGTCAGTTACTTATTTAATGAAATAAAAATAAAATAAAATAATTTAAAATATATGATTAATTGTCAGTGTAAAAAATTTTACACTAATAATCTATGCTTATTGTATATGAGAAACTTTATCTAATTAATGGATGTTGGACGGTGGCTGCAGGTAGGATATAGATATGCTTATTGTATATGAGAAACTTGTAATGTTAATTATATTTTAATCTTATGGTTTAGTTTAAGAGTTAATCACCTATATACGGTCCGTGTAAAAAAAATTTACACTGGCAACCAATCATATATTTTAATAGTGTCATGTCAGTTACTTATTTAATGAAATAAAAATAAAATAACATAATTTAAAATATATGATTGGTTGTCAGTGTAAAATTTTTTACACTAACAGTATATAGATGATTAACTCTTAGTTTAATTACTAATTTTAGTTATTCTTGTTAAAAATTCCAGTTATTAAAATCTTGGAGTATATTGAAATCTCATTAATAACAATTAAATGGTCGATATTTAAGGTTAGGATACAGGTGAAAAATCAAGTTTCAACGAAGTTGTTGTTATATTTGTGACAGGGTTGCGATGGATCAATTTTACTAAACAACACAGCTACCATAGAAAGCGAGCAAGATGCAATTCCAAATAACAACTCAATAAGGGGCTTGGACGTTGTCAATAACATCAAAACAGCGGTTGAAATTATTTGTCCAGCTACAGTTTCTTGTGCTGATATTCTTGCTATTGCAGCTGAAGTAGGTTCTGTTCTGGTAAGTCGCTGGAAAATAATTTTACGAAAATATTACATTTTAATTAGTAGTTTTGAGTTTGAACAATTAATAAACATCATGAATTAAAATTTATATGATATTGAAATTCAAATACAAAATTTATAATTTGTCTTAAAAAATTATGAATATGTAATATTATTCTTACACTAAATTATACAATATTATTCTTTGCCTTTATAATTTTTTTCATCATGTCTTTTATTACATTTCAAACTTATCTCTCTTCTCTTTTTTGTTGTATAATTTGTAGTATAATTAGCATCATTTCTAATAGTCAATTATTGAAGTTTATCATGTAGATGTAGTTGCATGTGCCCCCGGTTTCGTGTAAAATGCTTATTCCATGGTTTGACTTTTAATTTGTTTTAGAGAGACATTTTGGTGATACGCTAAATAATTAATTATGTCCCTTAAGCTAAATATTCGTGCAACATCCAAATAACATAAATTTTCTGTAAGCCAAAAATTATCCACCATCTTTTTATGTATTTATTAAGAATATGAAAAAGGATATTTTATGTCTCTTAATTATTTAAATTAAAATAAATAATTAAATAAATAGTTGTGAGTGATTATTCTAAAAAAAAAAAATGTAACGTGTTAAGAATTAAAAAAGTCTTTATTTAAAAAAAAAAACATTTCTTGACAATTGAAGGATTATTGGTCTAACAAAAAATTGAAGACCCTAAAAGGTTTATCAAGGAAAAAAAAAATATATATATATATATATATATATTATATATATATATATATATTATAAAGAGGGCAGGGGATGTGTGTTGTGTTCAACAGAGTGGTTCTTAGCTCTGAGAAACTTGTATCCAAGAATTAATTCTGCAATTATGAAGATAAATACATATACATATATATATATATATATATATATAGAATATAGATATTAAAATTGTTCAATTTATCCATTTACAGGGAGGAGGTCCATCATGGTCAGTTCCATTAGGAAGAAGGGATAGCTTAACAGCAAACAGAACCCTTGCAAATCAAAACCTTCCAGCACCCTTCTTCACACTAGATCAACTCAAAGCTGCCTTTGCTGTTCAAGGTCTAAACACCACTGATTTAGTTGCACTCTCAGGTATACATAACTAAATTCCTATTTGTTAATATCTAGCAACAAAGTCCTTGAAATAAGTCTTATTTAAATAATCTTTTCCATAACTATTTATAGGAAAAAGAAAACTAATTAAATTGATCAAATACTGAACTTATCACATAAATCAAAATTAACTTATATACTGAAATTTTATAGAAATAATTTCTCCAAAATCTCTGTTAATTTTAATTTTTGAAGTGGAGAATATACTGGCACACAACATATGTATACAAGTCTAATTTGAAACCATTAACATATACAGGTGCTCATACATTTGGAAGAGCTCATTGCAGTACATTCATTAGCCGATTATACAACTTCAACAACACTGGAAATCCTGATCCAACTCTGAACTCAACTTTCTTACAAATATTGCGTGAGATATGCCCCCAGAATGCAACTAATAATAACCTCACCAATTTGGACCTGACCACACCTGATCGTTTTGATAACAAATACTACTCCAATCTTCAGCACCTCAATGGCTTACTTCAGAGCGACCAAGAACTGTTCTCCACTCCTGGTGCTGATACCATTGCCCTTGTCAATAGCTTCAGTAGTAACCAAAGTCTTTTCTTTTCCAACTTTATAGTGTCAATGATAAAAATGGGTAACATTGGAGTGTTGGAAGGGACTAAAGGAGAAATTCGCTTGCAATGTAATTTTGTTAATGGAGACTCCTCTGGATTAGGTAGTGTGGTATCCAAAGATTCTAAGGATAATCTGATTGCTCAATCGAAATAAGTTATAATGGAGATATGTGCTAGCTGTAAAGGCAAATCAAAGGTTGTAAACCTTTTTTGCTTTGTTTAAATAAAAACAAAGGAGTGTTCATGTCATTGTGATTTTGAGATGTACCTCTTGGCATATTATGTACCTTGATTCTCTTTCCATCACTCTCCTTTCATTCTCTAGCTTATTCCAGTAATATAAATTCTATACATTTTTTTAAATGCTACGTACAAAAGGAAAATTAAACCATATATACATTTTTATGTAGTTTGCTACCTTTTGTTCCTTAATAAGAAAGGCTTCGTGATAAAAGGGATTTAGCGCGACACAACCATATAAATTTGAAAAGAAAGTCCCTACAATTATTTATCATATATATGATTTATAAAAGTGATATTAGATAAATCACAATAATACAATATAAAAAATATATAATGTAGTATCATTATAAATATAATATATATAGGTATATATTTATTTAATAAATAATTACGTACAATTTTAATATTAATTTTAAATAAAATTTAATAATATATTTTTTGTATTATTATAATTTATATTCATATATTTTTTTTAATAATATATCAATTTATATTATATTTATTATATAGGTAAAAGTAATTTTTGTAGTGATATTTTTGTATGTTATTATATGATAACTTTCTTGTAGTGATATAAATTCAAGAGATAAAATAATAATATGTCTTCAGGAGTGAGCAATAATCTAAGTGTCTTGGGCCACATGCTAACTAAAGAACTTGGAGCCCTGTAGTTGGTAATTGGTAAGGTTGAAGAAAGGCTCTCTGGAGGAGTAATATATATCTTTTGGAAGTTGAACTATTAGTATATTATTTCGTTCTCCAATCAGATCATTTATTTTCTTGAGCCTTTAATAGGTTTATATTGGGGGAGGGGGAACTGAGGATATACAAAATTTACCCCAGGTTTTGCTTAGTGAAATGTGTAGGATCAAGGTAGAGGGAGGCTTAGATATAAAAAATCTTTGAAATTTTATTACTAGGAAATAGGGATGGAGCACAATGGCGGTTGTATAAGAAACAAAATATCTATAAATATGTCATGTTGAGGTGTTCGATATGTTTCAGGTATAACATTTGTTAGATATGTGTATGATACCATTTTCTATCATATCACCATTAAAAAATTACTTTTTTATCCGGATATAATTTGAACTCTTTTTCCATACGACTTAGACATAAAGTTAAGAGAACAAACTCATACTTATTCTTAAGTAATCACTTATCTGATATTTTTATTATAAAAAATTTAAAAATTCAAGTTATATAAATATTACAAAGCTCCTAAAAGTTTTTGTTATTTTTTCTTATGTTCATTTTCATAATAACATTTTTCTTTTAATATCTAATTAAATTTTTTTTAATAATTGATTACATGTATAAAATGCAAGAATATAAATATAAATATTTGAGAAAAACTAATCACGTGTATTATTCACCCTAACAAACATATATAACTTTATTCAAGTATAAAGGACCGTTTGTTTGGATGATTGTCTGTTTAGATGCCTCACTAGCTTTGTCCTAAGGAGAAAGTAATTCAAAGGAAACGATAACTTATCCACAATCACAAAAGTGTACATGGAAAGTTTTAGCACTTCGTCGTCTTTCAAAACGAAAAAATCAAACATCAAAATCTATTAAAAGACGTGCAACAATAGACCAGACAATTTTGTCTTCATAGGACACAAATACTTTAGCCGAATAAAGTAGGAAAGATTCTTTGATTTATCAATTAAATCCATGCAGTGATATAGTGGTTTTACAGTTTTTCATTTTTCTATTATAGGAATAACCTTGTTACCTTAAAGCATTTCTTCCTAAAATTGTTGAGATCGTGTAGAGAGATCTTATTTTATTTTATTTTAAAAAAACATGTGTAAATTTTTTAAAAGTATTTATATGTAATGTAACCCTGTGATTAGTTTTATTAATTGATTATATGATTTATGTGATTAGTTAATTGATAAAATTGTTGTAATTATTATTATTTTAAAGCTCTCAGGGTTAAAGGATCCGTGAGAGTTAAGTTTTTGTTGAAGTAATATTAGTTAGGATCAAGGTAACCTAACTTATGGAATGATATATAAGATTTTCTTAAGACATAAATGTTAGAATTCATTTCTTAAGAAAAATTAGAGAGAGAGACTTTGAAGCTAGATAAATTATTTCTTCTTTCGCTTTCGTTGATTTCTTCAAGGTTCTTCCTGCAATTGAGTTGAGTTACTAGATTGAAGATTCGAGTTTTAGGAGCTGAGAATTTCAAGTTGAGAGCCATACGAAGTTTTCACATTCTTCTTCCGCCTTGCTCGTTTCTTCTCATTTTTTGGTGATTCAAGATAAGAGAAGTTTGTTAATTGAAAATTTGTTGATGCATAATTGTTGTTTGTTGCCTGGAATCATCATGGTGTAGTTGAAATTATGTGAATTCATGAAATGATGAGTGTTGAGTTTTTGGTTCCTTGAAGGTGTTTGAGTGGAGTTTGATGATATTCTTGAATTGAGATGAATGCATGTTGTATTTTTGTGTTGGAAATGGATAATATATGTTGTATATGTGTAGAATATTGCACTGCATGTTGGTTTTGCCAAGTGAATTATAGGCTTGAGCCAATTTGAGGATTTTGTCAAGTGTGAAAATCATCATCACGTTAAGCATGTCTTCATGGTGTCAGATGTGGCTCAAGTTAGGGGCTTTTTTCCCTAATAACGTTAGACGCAAGATTAGTAATGTCATACATTGATTAGTGAGAAGCTCTTTAATTTATCTCGTTGAATGTGGAAATAAGATGCATTAGGTGTGATTGCTTAAGGAACTCTTTGACTTGGTGACGTCGAGTGCAAGTTGAGAGATATCAAGGGTGATCAAGCTAGTGACTTTTTCCCTGGACGATATTGGACATAAGTTTAATGGTGTCAGGCCTAAGTCATGAAGAGTCTCTCTACTTGAATAAGATCGAACGTAGGTTTATCTACGTGAGACATGATTGATTAAGAGGCTTTTCGCCTAATCCATGTCGGATGCATGTGGATTGACATCAAACATGGGTGAGTTAAAGGTTATCTACCTCAATGATGTTGGACACGAGAAAAATGGCATTAGGTGTGGTTTCCTAGACAAAAACTTGTTGAATATTTCTCTATGTGTTGAAAATATATGAAGTGTATTTCTTACTCACATGTCCATATCATGCATGTTGTATGATTCCATTTCATTATGTATTGATCTAAGATGATGTACAATAATGTTTTAAGTTACTAAGTTGCAAGTTTATAGTTGAATGGAAGTTGTAATTAAGTTGTGAGTTAGTTGATTTGAAAGTTGTTAAGTTGTATAGGTATGTGGTGTTGAGATACATGTCTAAGTTGAAATGCATAAAAACTAGAGGAAAGTAAGGTTGTTTTGAAAATTAAAATATCGAATTGTGTGGATATAAGTGGTAGTGTTTTGAAAGTTCAAAGTTGAGAACCTCTTAGTAAATTGTTGGATACCAATTATAGTGTTCTATATTCTATGTTTGATCTTAGGGGAAGTCAATATTCCATTAAACTTAATTTGATTCCTTCCCTACAAGACAAAAATAGTTTATATGATCATGAATATCTAACAAACAATCAAATCCAAAATTGTTTAGGACGTTTTTTCGTAGTTTTTTCTTTATATTTTAGGAAAAGTCTAGGTTACCATTTAGGGTATTTTAGGCAAGATATTGTAGTGTTTAAAAATCATTCTTTTCATTGTCTTAGTCATAGTGTTCTTACATTTTTAGGTTTTACTTCTAGGTTGTGCTTAGAAGAGGAGCCTATTTCTATTTTTAGGGAGTCTAATTTTGACAGTTTATTTTTCTTTCTTAGGCTAGATAGAAGGACTCCTCTTAGGATTTATGAAACTTTCATCTCTTATCCATCGTATGTTATACATGTAGTTGTTGATTTTTCTTCCATTCATCCTCGAGATTTGAGGACAAATCTTTTTCAAGAGGGAGGGGATGATGGAATCATGCTTTGGAGTGCAAGAGGTGACATACTCAAAGATCCAAGAGGAGTGGGCTAGACATGGAAGATTGGGCCAGTCAAGGCCCAATGGGCCCTATGGGCTTGGAAGGCCCAAACTTAGTTTCAACATGGGCCTATATTGTTTTTAACATTCTTATTATATTTTTGTTAGCATAGTTTGAATATATTTTGGTCTTGTATTTTGGACCACATAGAGTAGCAATTTAGGTTTTAGGCTTGTTGGGCCTAGTTTTGGGCTTCATGGGCCTTTGGGCTTTTGGTACCCAATATTGGGCTCATTTTCATTCTTGTAATTTTTCCTTTCCATTGTATTTGTTTGACCATTGTATTTAGGTCATTAGATTAGGAATATACAAGAATTACTTAAATAGGTAAATTAGGTTAAACTAGGTTTAATTTGGAAGTCATTTAAGTTACATTTGAGTCACATGTTTAGCACCATGGGTGGCTGAACATGTGCCACTCAAATTAACCCTAAATAACTCTCAAATCAAACCTAAATGCATCTAGACACCTAAATTTTCTGACTAGCACATGGGAGCCAAAATTTGAATTCAAATTTCAAGTTTGAATTCAAATTTTGGGCGCCACATGTACCCTTGAATTTAGGCGCCCAAAGTTGCACATTTGGAACCCTACTTAAGTGATTCTTCTACTCATTGTTTAGTGATTTCCACTTGAAAAGGCTTGGTTATTAAGTGGCTCTTAGTAGCTCACCTCCCTTGATAGTGCAACTTGTACACTTAGACTTCCAAGTGTTATTTTTGTTCCTAGAAAATACCAAAAACATTTTCTATCTTTTGGATAGCATATAAATGTCTTATTGCTTAATCATGAGTCATATTTTTCAAAGTAGTAGTGACTTTGAAACTCCTAAAAGTTTTAGAAGAATTGTCAAGGAGGTTCACTACAAGAAAATTCAGTATTTCAGACGGCAAAAATCCGTGGGAAATGCCCAAAATCCGTGGGTAATGAGGAATTTCCGACGGATTACCGACGGACATTAATCCGTCGGTAAATTGGTCGTCTGAAATTTACCCACG